ATGGTTAACTGTAATTAATATTCTGAATTCAACTTTTAAATACATTATTCTGCTTTATCATACATGTTAATATTATTTTTCTCATGTCTCTCATGGTTAACTGTAATTAATATTCTGAATTCAACTTTTAAATACATTATTCTGCTTTATCATACATGTTAATATTATTTTTCTCATGTCTCTCATGGTTAACTGTAATTAATATTCTGAATTCAACTTTTAAATACATTATTCTGCTTTATCATACATGTTAATATTATTTTTCTCATGTCTCTCATGGTTAACTGTAATTAATATTCTGAATTCAACTTTTAAATACATTATTCTGCTTTATCATACATGTTAATATTATTTTTCTCATGTCTCTCATGGTTAACTGTAATTAATATTCTGAATTCAACTTTTAAATACATTATTCTGCTTTATCATACATGTTAATATTATTTTTCTCATGTCTCTCATGGTTAACTGTAATTAATATTCTGAATTCAACTTTTAAATACATTATTCTGCTTTATCATACATGTTAATATTATTTTTCTCATGTCTCTCATGGTTAACTGTAATTAATATTCTGAATTCAACTTTTAAATACATTATTCTGCTTTATCATACATGTTGGTATTATTTTTTTCATGTCTCTCATGGTTAACCATAATTAATATTCTGAGTTCAATTTTTAAATACATTATTCTGCTTTACAATACATGTACATTTTTTTTTCATGTCACTAATAGTTAACTGTAGTTAAAATTCAGAGTTCAATTTTCAAACACGAAAATTGATATTTTTAATTCTTTTGTACCCCTGAAAATAGCAGTTTTTCCCTTGTGCGTCGGAAATGATCGACATCCTGCACCCAGGGATTAATATCCTTCCATCTAAATTAACTTCGTAACATACCCGAACAAAATTGTGAACAGGGATCTATTTTTAAGTGCTTGGTTATTTGGAAAGCTTTAGACGACCGACTGTTATGGACAGGTTGCACAAGCTACGATGTCAACGTTATGTACAATCGATTTTATAATTTGTTACGATGCTGCAGTTCACGTTGTCGATGTTTCCGTAGTGTTTCTATTCTGTTCTTTCCTTGTCGGCCTGCAACCCTTTGCTCTTCGATTCGTTCGAATTTCTAAATATTGTCATAAAAATAGTTATCAGTAAAATTCGTGTAAAATTAAATATTCGATGTATTTGAATTTAGAGATGTAAAAGTAACTTTTCGAATCGCAAAGGGTTACAATAAAACAAACTTTGTACTCTCTGTTTTTATTTGTATGACACTTTGCAAAATCCTTACACATTCGATTTATAATATAAAAATAATTTTTCGAGCACGTATTTTCACGGTGAATTGTTAAAATACGTGCACGTGATTTTATTTTTTCCAGCGCGAGCGATCAGCGTATCGCGAGTATTGTCGCAAAGTAATCGATTTTTCGTTTGTACTGTTCCATCGAGAGAAGCTGGCTGTTTTGCATGCTTGCCTTTCGAACAATTCAGTCGAATTTAACTCGTAATTGAACAGAAGGCTGACTTTTTACATGTTACGTTACGTGTACTAGGTCATTGCACATTAAATGGACGATTCCGGAACATCAAAAGCCTATAACGATTTGATGACATAAAAGCGTTACGAAGTAGCATTCGCGTTGTATCGATTTGAAGCTTAAAGTTTGCTGAAAATTGTTACGTACAGATTTCGTGAGTATTCCAGTTACGGACTGATTGATTGTCAGTTGCGACGAACAGTTTTCGAAACACATGTCGTTTGACAGAATTCGATGACATAAAAATGTCACCAAATAGTTGTGTTCATTTCATTTTATATTTCTCTGTATTAACGCTTCATAAGGATTTTTATTACAAAATGGCTGACTTAGACCTTCACGGATTTATTCTGACAAAATCATGACATAAAAGTATCTGAAAATTGCACTCATGTTATATTATTTTGAAGTCCGGTGAAAATTCTTGTATAAAAATATCGAAAATCTTAACACAGGGCGATGAATAATTATATCAATCACTGAAATCAGTATCATATGAGTAACAAGGTGTAAAGTCTGAAACAATATAAGTTATTTTGTAAAATTGCTGAAATATTTGCATGCTCATTTTTTATAAACTTCAAGCTCCAAAATAACATATCACAAGTGTTATTTTTCAATACTGCCATGAAACTTTCTCAGACTTCTGCTTCGAAACCAGTGATTGCTATAATCAATCATCAGCCATTTTACAGTAAGAGTCTCGACAAAGCATTTACACAGTTTCGTGAAACTTCAAGGATCAAATTGATGTATTATAAAAGTAATTTTGAAATAGTTTTCAGCCATGCAATCGGCCCAGAATGTTTCGAAATCTGTTACTGTAATCGGTTACCAGCGTAATGAAAATATGGTAAATATATTGAAACCTCGAGATTAAAAATTGCCGCCATAAGTGTTATTTTTCAATGACGAAATCGCTCCTACAAAGTGCAACGACCTATTTAAATATTTTAACCGAACTTAAATCGTTCCTTTTATCCAAGATTAAAGAACAAGCATTTTAAATCGGAGTAAGACGTTAAAAGCGATTTTAAGTAAATCAACCATTTCGCCCGCAACAACCTGTTATACTTAGCGTTAAACCATTGCCGTTGTGTTGTATACTCGGTATATCTACTTGTATACCCGGTTGCCGTTGATCAAGAACCGGTTAATTACATCGCTTAATTACAGGAGTAATGCCAAGAAACTTATTTCTTCCGCTACATCCTCTTGAAAGTGCAAATAGTTCGCTGCATAATTTAAACGTAGACATCGGGGTCGCGAGGGTAGTTTCAAACGGAATAGCCAACTTGTAAACTTCGAAGGCTTAGATTTAATTTCCGTAATTAACGTGGCGATTTCTGAGGCCTTTTAAACGGTGTACAAGAACGAAAAATCGATTTTACACATCTTCGCGTGATCCTTGCCGTTGGCGTAACTGCAATCCTTTTGGGGTGAAACACGTCCCTTAGCGTGACTGATACTTTCAATTTCCGAGCCGAATTAAGCGTAACCAGGCGACTTTTCCAGATTTCTGTTTGGGGATTAGGGACTTGGGGATTTGGAAACTTACGATTTGCTGGGTTTAGGGATTTTAGAATATTGAAATTTAGGGATTTTTAATTCTAGGGAATTTGAAATTTTTGTACTGCGGTATTTGGGGATTTGGATATTGAGAACTCCAGAATTTGGAAATTTGAGGATTTTGGAATCTAAGGAATTTAAGATCTAGGGATTTTGGGATCTAGGGATTTTGAGATCTAGGGATTTTGGGATCTAGGAATTTCGGAAACCGGGAATTTTGAGATCTGGGGATTTTGGGATCTAGGGATTTCGGAAACCGGGAATTTTGAGATCGGGGGATTTTGGAATCTAGGGATTTTTGAATCTAGAGATTTTGAAACCCGAGAATTTTAGGATCTAGGGATTTTTTGGAATCTAGGAATTTTGGGATCTAGGGATTTTTGAATCTAGAGATTTTGAAACCCGTGAATTTTAGGATCTAGGGATTTCTTGGAATCTAGGAATTTTGGGATCTGGGGATTTTTGGGGTCTAGGGATTTTGAGAACTAGAAACTTTGGGATCTAGGGATCTAGGGAATTTGGGATCTGCGGATTTTTTGGGACCTAGTGATTTTGGGATTCATAGGGATTTAGGAATTTGTAAATTTTTAAATTTAGGGATTGAAAAATTTGGGGAATAGGGAATTTAGGAATTTAGGAATTTACGAATTACAAAATTTAATAATTTAGAAATTGGTAATTTAGGAATTTGGCAATTTGGAAATCGGTAATTTAAGAATTTATAAGTTTGAAAATTTAACAGTTTCACAATTCGAAAAATTAGAAATTTTGAAACTAAAAGAATTCCTAAATTCGTAACCGTTAAATAAAGAAATTCCGAAAATTGGACTTGGAAAATTTCTAAATCTCGTTACCTGGTTACATAGTAAAGTAGTTCGAGTTTCTTCTTCTTGAAGAAGAAAAGGGACGTTTCACCCTTGCCTTTATATAGTTACGCCAATGATGCCTGGTTTTTGCTTCGATCTATCTGCCGCGAAGTTCAGACAGATGGTTGCATACATTTCCATGCATTACTTAGCTCTATGGTTTTTTGTCATTTAAATGTTACGCGTTGTGTTGTAATGTTACCAGTAGCATTTTCTCCCCTTCTTTCTCTGTGTTAAAAAGGTCACGTTGGACGCAAAGCTGAATAAAAGAAAGAGGCGCGCGTGTAATGTGATTTTCCTTAAGTGAGACAACTCTTTTTTTTCACCACTTTGGTGCGCTGCCGTTTCGACGATATTCTGCTCACGCGTACCGCTCGAAATTTTAAAAAAAAAAAAGAAAAAACGAAAATGAATGCAAATTCTGAATTTTAATGGAAAATCAATGCCGATGGAAATACGGATTCGCCGGATTCGAAATTGGCAAATGAACGTCATTTTATTTAAAATAGCGTAGATAATTGATATTGAATTTAGTCAACGTAATTTTGATCAAAAAATTTATTCATATGGGATATATTCAAATTTTAACTTTCCAAATCACGCTCGTTTCCAATAATGATAATTAAATTCTATACGCGACAAATTTTCCCGAGAAATATTAGTTATTTCATACGGCGCTAATAGAATTTCATTAATAATCAATTTTAAAACAAACTCTTTTTCCATCTTCGCAAAAATACTGCAGAATTGCACGTTTGGTTGAAAAATTAATCGAACAACGTCCCGTCTCGTATTTTATTTAATTTTTCTCTTATTTGGCACGAAAGCAAAATACGAAAAAAGCGGTACTGAATAATTTTGCCAATGACGCACACGGCACGTCACATTCCACCGCGCGTTTCTTTTACGGATTAATGTCTTTGTGTTAGAGAAAACGTGATCGTTGCCTGGTAGATTGTTTTCGACAGCTGCTTAATTTTGACTCGTTAAAAAAGCAAAGCGTTTCCCTTAGACGACACCTGTCGATCCGACGAATTCACGTGCGCAAACAAGCATTGCATTCAGCAATCATGGGTGTGCGATAACGACGACGACTGCGGGGATGGCAGCGACGAGAAGGACTGCAAACCAGTCACCTGTCGTCCTGGAACCGAATTCGCCTGTTTGCAAAATTATTGCATAACGTACCGTTGGAGGTGCGACGGTGATTTTGATTGTCCTGATCATTCCGACGAAATCGGATGCAAGGTATCGCATCAAACACATTTCTTTTCTTCTTTGTTTTATCCAAATTCCAAATTTGTTTCATCATAACTATCTAAATCTAAGTTTTCAATTTTTCAAGTTCTCCAATTTTCTCTAATTTCAAGATCTTCAAATTTTCAAATACTTACATTTCTAATTACCTAATTTTCAGATTCTTTTATTACCAAACTTTCAAAGTTTTAAATTCCCAAATTTACAAATTCCTAAATCCCTAGATCCCCAAATCCCTAGGTCCCAAAATTCCCTAGATACCAAAATCGCTAGATCCCAAAATTCTGTAGATTCCAAATTTCCTTAGATCCCAGAATTCCCTATATTCCAAAATCCCCAGATTCCAAAATTCCCTAAATCCAAAAATCCTCAGATTCCAAAATCCCTGGATTCCAAAATTCCCTAAATCCCTAAATCTCCAGATTCCAAAATTCCCTAACTCCCAAAATCCCAAAATTCCCAAAATCCCCAGAATCAAAAATTCCCTAAATCCCCAGATTCCAAAATTGCCTAGATTTCAAATTTCCTTAAATTCCAAACTTCTCTAGATCCCAAAATTCCCTAGATTCCAAATTTCCTTAGATCCCAAAATCCCCAGATCAAAAAGTCTCTAAATCCTCAAAAATCCCTAAATCCTCAAAAATCCCTACATTCCCAAATCCCCAAATCCCCAAATTCCCAAATTCAAAATTTCTAAATTTTGTAAAATTGTTTCCAAAACTTGTAGGAATACGTGAACGGTGACCGTGTCAGTCATTGCCACAAAAAAGAGTTCGACTGCGACGACGATGTCACTTGTATTCACCAAAATTGGGTTTGCGATGGTGACAAGGACTGTCCAAACGGAGCGGATGAATCGCCACAGCGGTGCCACAATGTGACATGCAGACCTGATCAGTTCCAATGCGAGGATCATCATAATTGCATATCAGGTATCTGATTAATGTAAAGTTATACTATTTTTGATTCGATCAACGAAAATCAGATGGATTTGTCCCATGAATTCATTATCGTTAGTTCATTATTCATTTATCAATTCGGACGTCCAGATGGACAGCTGTTTGATTGCTGAAATTTGTAATTGGAATTAAGATCCCCGTTACGTAACTGTATTATTTTTCGGGATATTATTGTCGCAAATAAAAACAGATACTTTTGCCTACCTGCATAAATAATATCAATTGTTGATTATTTAAGATAACGCTGTTTATGTACATAATTAATTGAATTTGGTATTTATTATTTCATTTCGTTCGTTATTTATTAAATTTATTAAAGTCGAATTTAATATCCGTTATTTATTCACGGAACATTTGCATAATTTTGTAACATGAATAAAACAAGCTTACACGCGTTTTATAGGTGTTAGAATTGGAACAAAAAATGAGGAGATGGTTACATTTTGTAAAATATTACAGGACATTTGTACTGCAACGGGAAAGCAGAATGCGCGGACGGCAGCGACGAGAAAAATTGCACGAGCAAAGCGGTGACTTGCGATCCGTTGACTCAATTCGAGTGCAGCGAAGGTTCGTGTATCCCGATTTATAACGTGTGCAACAAAAATCGGGATTGCATCGGTTGGGAGGACGAAAGTACGGAGCTTTGTGGTGTAAACGAGTGCTTGAAAAACAACGGCGGATGTTCGCAAATTTGCGTCGATTTACCTATTGGTTTCCGGTGTAACTGCAGCGCGGGATACAGGCTAATAGATAACCGAACCTGCGATGGTAAAGTATACTTGTATCATTAAAAAACATATGCTTAAAAGAGGATGACTGCGTCATGAATTCTATTTCTTATTTCAGACATAGACGAATGTCTAATACCAGGTAGCTGTTCCCAATTTTGCTTGAATGAAAAGGGTGGATTCAAGTGTAGCTGCGCCACGGGTTACTTGAAAGACCCCAGAGATCATACTCGTTGCAAAGCAGCCGAAGGTCACGCTAGTTTGCTCTTCACCAGAAGACACGACATCAGAAAAGTAGCTTTGGACCGTTTGGAGATGACCGACATAGTCAAGAACACGAAAATGGCTACTGCTCTGGATTTCGTTTTTCGCACTGGTATGATCTTTTGGAGCGACATTAACGAGAAGAAGATCTATAAGTAAATATTTGTTTAAATAATTTCGTTGTACTTAGATTGTCGTCAGCATATCCCTAATCTGTGTGATCGTTTTAGAGCTCCAATAGATGAAGGCAATGAACGCACGGTCGTTATTGATGATGGTTTAACCACGTCAGATGGACTTGCAGTTGATTGGATATACAGTCACATTTACTGGACCGATTCTAGAAAGAGTACCATAGAACTGGCTAACTTTGAGGGAAATATGAGGAAGACTCTTATACGAGATCGCATACAGGAACCTAGAGCTATAGCTTTGAATCCGTTGGAAGGTTGGATGTTTTGGACCGACTGGAGCGACGAGGCTCGTATCGAAAAAGCTGGCATGGACGGTTCTCATAGAATGGTAGTGATAAAAAGATAAATTATGTACCTTTAGCTACAGACCACATGTTCCAGAAAGGAGAAATATCTAAATTTTTAAGTTTCCAATTCCCCAAATTTCGAAATTTCCAAATTGTATAATCTAAGAACAGCTTAACAGACCACTGTAGTTAAGGGTTGACTAGTTGCTGTTGATTAAGATCAGAACAAGATTTCACTCTAATTATTTACAGGTTATAGTTGATAATGATGTGAAATGGCCAAACGGATTGACTCTGGATTTAATAGGCAGGAAGGTGTATTGGGTAGACGCGAAACTGAATATAATTGGATCCTGTAATTACGACGGTTCTGGTAGACGAACGGTTCTTTATTCACCAGTAGTATTAAGGCATCCATTCAGTATTACAACGTTCGAGGATTACGTGTACTGGACCGATTGGGACAAGGAAACGATATTTAAAGCAAATAAATTCACTGGCAAATCCGTCGAACCCGTCACGTCACTCCGAACTCTTCAGCATCCGATGGTCGTTCACGTGTATCATCCGTATAGGCAACCAGATGGAATGAATCAATGTCAAGCAGTAAATGGTCACTGCAGTCATTTGTGCTTACCAGCACCCAGGATTAATTCGAAATCACCTCTTCTTAGTTGTGCTTGTCCAGACGGTCTAAGATTATTGCCTGATGGTTTAATGTGTGTAGAAAAAGGTAAAATACTTTTACGTATTATGGGTGCTAATTCTCTTTGATAAATCATATGCATCATATGCACGTAACGACTGTAGTCAAAAGAATGAAATCAAATAAAAAATATTTATGCATGTGGTTCAAACAAAAATGAATGCTTGATACACATAGGACTTGCAAATAAAATATAAATGGGGCATGTTTAAAACCTCATTCTCAATTTATACTGATCATTTTGATACATGATTTATGTCATATCTTATTTCTTTTTTCATTTTCAACTGTACAATTATTGCCTTGATTTCTTACGTTTATTATTTAATTATATTATTTTGCATCGGTGTTGCATGAATATGGGATATCCAGTTAGTACAACTGTAGCACCTACAACACAAGAAAGTAGTAAACCATTCAAGAGACTAGAACCACTCAACGTTACTACGACAACTATTCGTAAGTATGCTTGCATGACTCATTTTACAGTTATATTTTGTATGATCAGTGGATCATAAATAGACTGTGGATAGATCTTTATACTTTCAAGATATATCATAAACGTATTAGTATCTGCAGTCTAATTAATGACTTCATATAATATTAATAATAACACGGGAACTATAGTGCAGACAGGAGTGTTTTACATCTGCTAATATCGTTTTACTTGAACTTTCTATAATGAACAAACAACTTGTTAATTTTTCTACTCCTATTATCTTAATTAACAATTTTCTTTTAGATCCAGCACATTCAACGGATGGAGATGGAAAAGACAGCCTTGCAAGCAAATCAACAGGTCCTGGTTTGGTTGCTGGTATAGTGATAGGCGTGGCATCCTTGGGATTGTTACTCCTCGCTTTAGTAGCAATATTATGCTATAGGCATTATCTTCATCGTAATGTTACGAGCATGAATTTCGATAATCCTGTATACAGGAAAACCACGGAAGATCAATTTAGTCTTGAAAAAAATAGGTTTCCACTCCCCACTGCTACAGTTGGAGAAGAGGTAATACATTATTTTACTTATGGTGTTTCAGGTATCAACATATATAATGATATTCTTATTTTAACAGGCTCAGGAACCTTTAACGAGTCCTGGAACTAACGATTATGTTTAAGACTCAATCTGTCAATGAAACGGGCAATGAAGCAGGCTATTGAAGTAATGTCGACCAAGTAACGAAATGATGTATAAAAAGATATGAAGCCCATACACGTCGAACATAAACCTGTCCAATAATATGCCTGCATTTGCCCGCCTGCCTGCCAACTCAGCTGTGATTATGTTTACTTTTTTTTGTACCGTGTCTTTTTGTTTACAAATTCATGCATCTCGTCATACAACTATATTATACGTATGTGCAACATTTAGATTTGCTCCAAGGCATAAAGGGAGAAATATCTAGGTGAACTATAATATCGTTGCCAAATAAGCGTTAAAGCGTCGGTTTTCGAGTAGTTTATAAGATACAATTCCTATTTTATAATGTTCTTTTTTTTTGTTTACGTTCGTAGCATGTAATATATATATATATAAATATATATAGTAGTATTTATCGTTCTACGTGGGGTCACGACACAATCTATGTTTAATTCATATATATACATACATACATACATATATGTATATATATATTATAAAGAGAGAATATTTTTATCTACACATAAGGTCTTTAACTTGTTATCGTTTCGCTATTTATTCTGTAAGAAATATAATTTCTTTGATTATAATCTTCAGTTAGATATTAATTGCATCATCAAAATCACATGTATATAATACACAAATTCAAAATATATCATAGAAATAATTTTACAATGAATTAGTAATGATATTGAATTATTTACGAACGTTATACGATCTTTTCGTGGATTTGTTAAATTATTTATAATAACTGTTTTAAATCGTACATCATAAAATATTTTAGAGTGCCAAAATGAAATGTTTCAGAGATTTTCAAATTTATGAATAGTCGTAGCAATAGGAACTTGTTCCTAAATGATTATGAATTTTTTTTTTTAATAATCTTATAGACTTATGAATAGCAATATTGGTATTTAATCCCAGTAATAGCTCAAAATCCAGTGACGTTGAAGCATGTAAATGTTTAACTCTTTTTTTGTACATGAAAGTAAATTTCTCCTTTTATGTCATTTATATGATGCATACAAGCAATATTTTCTTGCATTGTTCACAGAATATTTTAATAGCTATCTACGGTTACATAGGTGGCCCATATCATAGCAAAATCACTTGTCCCATAGACATTCTGTTAACGTTATAATTGTAATGTAATAGATTCAAAACCGACTAGATGTAATAAGATCAGCTCAATGACACTAAGAGTGACTGTGTGTCTGTTAAAGTAAAACTGTTGTTTAGGTATTTCAACCTATTAAGAAAATGATCAGTGTATATGTATAGAAATACTGCCTCGAGTTTAAGAGTTTTACTTATTATATATACTTTATGATTAATGAAATTAAATAATTAAATGTGAGACAGACATTCTTCTAGATAAGATTATTAAGAAATGATAATATTAGGACAAGCTAGATGCCGTGTATATTAATAAGTAGCAAAATATATACTTACAGATTTTAATTTAGATAACTTCGGTTTCTAAGGTAATAAAAATAAATAGTTTGTATAGAGATTACTTTTCATTTAGAAATCTGTTTAAAAAATAAATAAATTACTGTTGGTTATAATAACAATTTATGTTCGTATCGTTAACGAAAATTTATTATATACGCAGTTTGTTTTTGAAAATATTTTATAGTACATTGTATATATATATATTAACTGAATATTTTATATTGATAGTTTATTGGATCAAATTTTTTATCGTAACTTGTAGATAAAAGTTTGCTACTTTTTAATAAAACACACATTACCTATGAGTGAAAGAAAGCGAAGTCCAAAATTAAAATATAGAGGCTCGGTGGTGATTTTAATCAAAAGATATAGCAAGAGTGTGGTGAATATCAGTTGCAATTAATTGTGTGAGTCACAAGGCATAACTTAGCCTATTTGTTCGCCAAAATCGTGTCAAACATTATTTCTATGCAATATATATTATCACTACACATGCATAATATAAATATATATATATATATATATATATATATATATATATATTATATATATTATATATATATATATATATATATATATATATATATATATATATATATATATATATATATATATATATATATATATATATATATATATATATATATATATATATATATATATATATATATATATATATATATATATATATATATATATATATATATATATATATATATATATATATATATATATATATATATATATATATATATATATATATATATATATATATATATATATATATATATATATATATATATATATATATATATATATATATATATATATATATATATATATATATATATATATATATATATATATATATATATATATATATATATATATATATATATATATATATATATATATATATATATATATATATATATATATATATATATATATATATATATATATATATATATATATATATATATATATATATATATATATATATATATATATATATATATATATATATATATATATATATATATATATATATATATATATATATATATATATATATATATATATATATATATATATATATATATATATATATATATATATATATATATATATATATATATATATATATATATATATATATATATATATATATATATATATATATATATATATATATATATATATATATATATATATATATATATATATATATATATATATATATATATATATATATATATATATATATATATATATATATATATATATATATATATATATATATATATATATATATATATATATATATATATATATATATATATATATATATATATATATATATATATATATATATATATATATATATATATATATATATATATATATATATATATATATATATATATATATATATATATATATATATATATATATATATATATATATATATATATATATATATATATATATATATATATATATATATATATATATATATATATATATATATATATATATATATATATATATATATATATATATATATATATATATATATATATATATATATATATATATATATATATATATATATATATATATATATATATATATATATATATATATATATATATATATATATATATATATATATATATATATATATATATATATATATATATATATATATATATATATATATATATATATATATATATATATATATATATATATATATATATATATATATATATATATATATATATATATATATATATATATATATATATATATATATATATATATATATATATATAATATATATAATTTATTATAATGATTATTGTATAAATAAATATATAAAATAAATCACACTACCGTCATTATTATTGTACCTACAAGAAGTGTAAAATATATGATTTGTAAAAATGTGATTGGAAATATAGAACAATACATAACTGTTTTCCTGAGTTATAAATCATTTGCAGAAATTGGTCTCATTATATGGCCCTGAGTAGAGCAATAGAAAAAATTGTGCAAAGAATCATAAAAATGGAACTCTATCCTCATAGGCTGATTGTTAAATTAACTTTACAATCCATGCTTGATTATAAAATTTATAAATTTGGAAACCAGTAAATCGACAATATATTTAAATTGCCCGCTATAAAAATCGAGTTATCAAAAGTACCGATCGATAGAAAACGATATATAGAATGTGCATACGAAACAAAATTCAAAATCCGTTGAAAACGGCAGGTATATTTTGTCTGTATTGTTATCTTATGCGTATGCGATTAAAATATCATGAACAATGTGATTAATTACCCTTCTTGTATAAAAATTGTAAGTATTTGATAAACGAATAAATTTTATGATTAAGCTTTGAATTGAACGCCAGTAATATACATTACAAAAATAGGTTAAATTTTGCAGCCTCCTACAAATGTAAAACAAAGTGCAACTATTACAATGTCTTCTCAAAAATTTGATATTAAAGAAGCAATAACGTTAAACGATGAATTAATATCATTAGCAAATAAAACTTTTGGAGAAAGAAAATGGAATCATAGTGTTACTAGTCAAACAATTGGTATGTATTCTTTTGGCTAATTCTGTCTTAAATTTAATTATTTGAAATATTAATTTTTCATTACTTTGGAGTTTTGACTTTATTTCAGATTTTGTAGAATCTTTTATGGGTAAATATATTTGTGGATGTGTTACATTCATTAAAATTCAGTTACAAGATGGAACATTTCATGAAGACATAGGATATTGTCATGCAGAAGGAGCCATTAAAGGTTTATCAATACATTGTGCACGGATTGTATGTTTAACATTTCAATAGCTTATATTTTTGTATATTATAAAAGTTAGTTTTTCAAATATCACATTTAGGGTTCTCTCGTGGATGCCTTTAAAAAAACATTATCATGCTTTGGCAATGAACTGGCAAATCAAATAAAGAAGCTCTCAAAAAAGTTAACAAACTCTAATACATGTAATGTTGAAAAGGAAGACTTGCATCTCTCTATACAAAGCATACCAGCTGATTTACTTGAACCATGTGCACAATCAACTCCACTTATAAGTAATAAAAATGGTAGCAAAGTCATAAATCAAGTATTTCTGAAATTTATTACTAATGAAATTGTAATGAAGTAACATACTCAATATATACTTTTCAGAAAATACTTGTAAACCTATCACTTCAGTTAATGAAGAAAAGCAGTCATTGACAAGACCAAAAAGTCCTGTTGGACAAAGAGGACAAACAATAATACAACATTCATCTATACCTGTAAAAGTTGAAAATGGTGTAAAAGATCAATTACAGTCTAATGACACGAATTTTCAAAATGAACCAGAACATAAAGCTCAAGATTCGAAAAAAGGTAAAAGATAAATGTTCTTACAAAATTATAAGTGATATTTGCATTTACTTCCAATAAATAAATGATTTCAGTATTAAGTGAAGAGGAATTACAACGGTTAGAACGAAAGCGAAAACAGATGGAGAAACAAGCTGAGTACAAAAGACTTATGAGGGAAAAAGAACAACAAAAATTAAATGAGAATAAGAAACCCAATCCCAAATATTAATCATTAAAATAAGGTGATACATATTGTCGATTTCATGAATGACCAGAGTCGTTTCAGATAGCTCGATCGAACTCCCGAGATTTCAGGAAAATAAAAAATCACCAGGTATGCACGTCAGAATCGTCGTAAAAACGCTTGCGCGTTAGGCTTAGTTACTACAAAGTATGTACCAATCAGAGCCAGCACGAGCAGAATGACCGAATGTCATTCATTCGACAATCTTAGTTTCTCGTGAAATCGACAATATAAATTTTACATATATAAAATATATTGTAAAATGTACAAAAAATAACCTTATAATATATACATGTATCACTGTAATTATAATGATATATTTTGATAAAGACAACATATAATTATTTTTATAGAAATTTTACACTTGGTTTCGGCTTAAAAATTAAGGTTATAAACTGCCCAAAACGAATTTTAGTAGATTAAAAACAAACATCTAATGTAGGTTTTGAAAATAAATATTTCATTCCTGTTATAATCATAGACTTATTTTCCAGAAATATCACAAAATTTTTTAACTTTAAATTGAAAACTACTGTAAAATAATACTGTACAAAAATGGAAAACATCAATCAATATTTTAAAAGTTATGAAGAACTTGATGTAAGTACACATGTATGGTTACATGCTTGATTATAATAGATGTAACAAAAATGTATCATTTCTTTTAATTGGATTTTATAGGTACATCAATTAATGCTGAGTGATACAGTTAGAAACCTTGCTTATAAAAATGCAATAATGAATTGTAAACATATGTTTAAAGACAAAATTGTTATGGATGTTGGTGCTGGAACAGGTGATTGTCTTGTAATTAACTCAAATTCATTTAATCTTTGAAAGCTATGTAAATGTTATTGGATTATGTTAACATTCATTTTAGGAATATTATCAATATTTTGTGCACAAGCAGGTGCAAAGAAGATTTATGCAATAGAAGCAAGTAACTTAATAAAACTTACTGAACAAGTTGTAAAAGAAAATAACTTAGATAATAACATTACACTAATCCATAGCAGAATAGAAGATATTGATTCAAATGATTTGGAAAAAGTAGACATCATAATTTCAGAATGGATGGGATTTTATCTTGTACATGAAGGCATGTTGAATTCTGTCCTTTTTGCTAGGGACAATTTCTTAAAAGAAAATGGCATGTTATTTCCATGTATTGCTAAATTATATGCATCACCATGTCAAATACCATCAATGTATGAATTTTGGGATGATGTTGATGGTGTCAATATGAAGTAATAATCAACATTTTGCTGAACATAATTAAAAATTTTGTGTTTGGACAATGTTTAATATTTTTACATTTCTAATATTACAGATGTGTTGGAAAAGAATATAGGAAAACAAAATCAATGAAGCCTGAAATAATAGTTGTAGATGAGAAAGATCTTTTAACTGAAGGTAAATTGTTAGCCTGGCTGGATTTACAGTGCATCAGCATTGAAGAATTAAATCAACTTGGGGGAGAAGAATATATTTCTGTCTGTAATAAAGATGGAAGGTATCAAGGAGTTTGTATTTGGTTTGATGTTGAATTTCCAGATGGGTCAGAATTATCTACAAGTCCTTTCCATAAAGTTACCCACTGGAAACAAACTGCCATTGTATTACCCACAGATATAGAAGTAACAAAAGATGAACCCATTGCATTTAAGTTAGAGCTGACTAGAAATAGTATTAAACCTAGACAGTATAATATAGAATTGGTGCTTTTGGATGCATCTGAAGTTGAACATGAAGTTCCTTGTCCTTGTCATATGACAAAGTGCATTGTTATGAAAACATATATAGCAGAACATAATGGATCCAGCGATGAAGATTCAATAAAAAAATGATATTTTTTTAGGAAAAGCTACTCAATGATTCTTCATCCTTTGATCATAGAAACATGTGAATTAACTAAGAGAAATCAATGTGATCAGAAGTCATCATGGTTAGTTTGCATGTAATAGTCCTACGACTTGACCAACATGAGTTCTCAAAACTAATTAATCTATTATTATTATTATTATGGTAGGTCATACTTAGCTCACATATTTTGGCTAACTTCAATTAGTTCCCCATTAATTAATGCTGCCCTGCATTAGCTATATATATGGTGGTCAAGACATGCAATAGATAAAAGAGGTGATGATGTAGGACATTATAAAAAGTGTACAAAGTAAAACGTCGCTGGGTATATGTGGTTGACGTCATGAAAGTTACAAATGCGCATGCATTTTGCTCATCGAGCGAATAATAAGTAGTTAGTTTTCATGAAATAGTAAATATTTTCATAGAAATCTGTCACAAACATATTAAAAAGAAAATATTATTTTGACAGGTTATTCGCATAATTCAAAAACGCTTTTAATTAAGGTACAAGTACAATATTTGTTATACTGAAGATAAGTAAATATAATAACAAGTATCATAGCACCTTTGTGAAACTGTTACCTTGACCGTACAAATGCGTGCGCAGAAAAGTTACTGCATCGAGATTACAGAGCGACATAACCTCGAAAACTTTGTAACCGAACCTGCCTAGCACATGAATCATACTAACATATTTTTGGTATAAATCTACGTTCAATCGTACTTAACGAATCGGAAGTAAATAAGAACTAAAAAAATATGACAACGGAAAATGTAGAAATTGATACATTAACGTTAAATGGAAGAACGGATGAGGAAGATATTGTAACACCTTGGGATGTTGCAAGTAAAAATGATACCGGAATTGACTATGACAAACTAATTCGTGAGTTACACAATTACCATCTGTCACGAACAGTTTCAAATTGAAAAAATTTAAGACAATTTCATTATGTTGTAGAAAAATTTGGAAGTTCAAAAATCGACGAGGAATTATTAGCCAGGTTCGAGAAAATCACAGGAGAAAAACCACATCATTTTCTTAGAAGAGGAATATTCTTTTCGCATAGAGATATGCATACTATATTAAATCTTTATGAACAAGGAAAATCGTTTTACCTTTATACTGGAAGAGGCCCTAGTTCAGATTCTATGCACTTAGGACATCTTATACCATTCATGTTTTGCAAATGGTTACAAGATGTATTTCATGTTCCATTGGTTATTCAGTTAACTGATGATGAAAAAGCAATATGGAAAAACATAAAAGTAGAGGATGCAATTAAATTGGCCTATAATAATGCTAAGGATATTATCGCCCTTGGATTTAAACCAGAAAACACATTCATTTTTTCCAATTTGGAACATATTGGAAATAACCCTGCATTTTACCAAAATATGATTAGGATACAAAGAAGTGTTACATTTAACCAAGTAAAGGGTATTTTTGGATTTGGAGATAGTGATCCTATTGGAAAAATTGCATTTCCACCTACCCAAGCTGCTCCAGCAATTTCTGGGACCTTTCCTTTTATATTTAAAGCTGCAAAAGTTCATTGTTTAATTCCATGTGCTATAGATCAAGACCCTTATTTCAGAATGACAAGAGATGTTACACCAAAAATTGGTTACCCCAAACCAGCTCTGTTACATTCTGTATTCTTTCCAGCCTTACAAGGCTCAAAAACAAAAATGTCTGCTAGTGATACTAATAGTGCAATATTTTTGACAGACACTGCTAAACAAATAAAAAACAAAGTTAACAAACATGCATTCTCAGGAGGACAAGCTACTGTCGAAGAACATAGACAATTAGGTGGCAATTGTGAAGTAGATATAGCATACCAGTGGTTAAGATTTTTCCTTGAAGATGATGAAAAACTAGAGCAACTTAGAAAAGTAAGATGCAATAAAAATTAAAGTGCTTTCTTTAATACAAAAGTATATTGAAATATGTTACACATTATGTAATACATAATAATACATAAATCTTAATTTTTTTCAGGACTATACAAGTGGAGAAATTTTAACAGGAGAGCTTAAAAAGGAATTGATTAATGTTCTACAACCTTTGGTTGCTGCACATCAAGAAGCTAGAAGTAAATTAACAGATGAAACAGTTAAACAGTATATGGTTCCTAGAGATCTTGGTTTTGTAACAAAGTAATTACATAAAAATTACCTTTTTTGTATATAAAATCCAAAAACATTATTTTCATCGATTTATTTAATTTTATTTATTCTTGAAACGTATTAATAATTGTTTTTACAATTAATAATTGTTCATTTAGAAAATTTATTTTTTAAATTGTGATGGTGCATTAAATTGCTTTTTCTAAAGTATATGCTCTGGATTTATATTTGTTATCCTTAAGATATGTCTTATTTTAAAAATATACATTTAATTTTCATATATTGATAATGTATATGATATTTTAAAAAGAGTATGTACAAAGTATCAAATTTAAATTTTCGGCGGTAAAGCTTTGGCAGTCAGCCACTACATATTGTTTATATGGCCTTTCCATAATTTTCTCCGCTCCTATAATTCCGTCCAGGATCATATAGTAAGTCTTCACTATATTTAAAAGTAATTTTTTTATTTTGGTTATAACAAATAGCGTTACATATAAAACAATAGAACGATCATCATGATTACAGAATGTAATAATCTATTGTAATAAAAATTGAATAATATGACGAAATCAATAAAAATTTATTACAATGCATTTAGAAACATGAATACGTGTTTATGAAATATCGAAATTCAAACTCCGTTTACTAACTATAACAATGCTGATAAACGGAGTAATCAGTGACAGTACAATTTATCATCGAATAAAAACTTGATGTTTTTGTTTATATGTTTCTTCGCAAGAGTTAATTCCAGTATCGCGCGCAAGTTAATTTTACTTTGGGATCCTGTATGATTGCCCAGGCTTGAGCGGAAATCGTGGGCTTTTGATTGGTGGATTATGACGCCATAAAACATGCTATTAATAACCAACGCATGCGCAGAAATTTACCCAGTGTATATCCGCCATTCATGCAAGTCGATTTCGTTAGTTCTGTGTGTTGAGCCTAGCAAAGGAACATGGTGATAGTGATATGAAACAAGTCTATTAGCAATACCACGCTCTACACATATATACTTTCGCAAAGTAACGATGATATTTGGTCACGACCTTCCTACGTAAGTTTCGTAAATATGTAGACTGAGGTATAAACTATTTTAGTCGTGAAAGTTGGCACTGCCAAATAGTTTCTCATTAAAATCTGATATAGCTTACGCTCGCGAGATTTTCAATTCCTGTATTCGATTAATTCCACGACACTCACGGGATTACTGTTATAATTATATATTGAATGTAATTGCGTGTATTTCTAATCTTTCTATTTACATAAACGTTCCCTTGTTTCATTTTAAAATATTTCGTATCTCGAAATTATTTTGTACGTTACGTTTAGTGTACGAGCAGTGTTGTTTTAATTATCCATTTTCCGTACTTAAATTGCAATCATAACTATAGAATAAATGATTTTTAAATCATTTTACGCAACGAAATAGCAAACGAAATTTTATTATTGTAATATGCACATATTATACGTAATACCATTATCTTGCATTCAGTTTTATTTTATATTATCAAAAAGAAACAATATTTTTAACACATATTACATCATTTCCTATTTTAGTAGCTTGTAAAAATTGAACTTTTTCTATCTTTATATGTTATTATCATTTTAGGTAAAACCTAAATAAAAGTGTTAACCGAATGATCAGTTAAAAAATGCTGGTCAAATAATATCTGAAAGAAGTAAATTAATTAAGCTGAGGCAGCAGATATCAAATAAATACTATGGGTTCACTTTTGGATACTCCAAAAACAGATAAATACAATGAACATGGTGCTGGCAATGGACTGCGTTATGGAGTTGCCAGCATGCAAGGTTGGAGGATGGAGATGGAAGATGCTCATAGAGCAATAACTGGTTTAAAAGGTGGCCTCTCGGATTGGAGTTATTTTGCGGTGTTCGATGGGCATGCTGGTGCATCGGTATCAGCTCATAGTGCGGAACATTTGTTAGAATGTATAATGCAAACAGAAGAATTCAAAGCAGAAGATGTTGCCAAGGGAATTCATTCAGGGTTTCTTCGACTTGACGATGAAATGAGAGAGTTACCAGAAATGAGTTCTGGTACAGAAAAATCTGGTTCTACGGCTGTTTGTGCATTTATATCTCCCAGAAATATATATATTGCCAATTGTGGCGACTCTCGAGCTGTACTATGTCGAGCAGGAGATCCAGTTTTCTCAACACGAGATCACAAACCTGTCTTACCAGCTGAAAGAGAAAGAATTCAAAATGCTGGTGGTAGTGTAATGATACAAAGAGTTAATGGAGCTTTAGCTGTTTCTCGTGCATTGGGAGATTATGAGTACAAAAATTTGAAAGATCGAGGCCCGTGTGAACAGTTAGTGTCTCCAGAACCAGAAATATTTGTTCGAGATAGAGATGATGAACACGATGAATTTCTAGTTTTAGCATGTGATGGTATTTGGGATGTAATGAACAACGAAGATCTATGTAATTTTATACATTCAAGGTTGCTGCTTACAGATGACTTAGAAGCAGTTACAAACCAGGTTATAGACACCTGTCTTTATAAGGTAATGATGTCTAAAACTTTTTATGTGTATTTTGTTAAAAGCTTCTTATTATTATTTTTATCTATTAATGTTAGGGTGTTAGAAATGTTAATAACTCTCTGTATTGAAATTTTATCAAATATAAACAATATGCAGAAATTTTATGTACCCTTGTATTCAAAAATTTAATTCATAATTATTATTTAAGTATTATGAAATATTATTTTAATTCAGACTATTATAACTAGACAAATACTAAATCAGTTTATTTAGTATAATAGATTTAAATACATATATATATCATATTACAACTGTTAACCATTATTATCCTATTGATGGTACATGACATTAAGTTCTTTAATGTAAATAACATTTTGTTTTTTTTTTTTAGTTTGTTTAAGGAAATATAATATCTTTCAAGAATGTAATATAAATTATTTACAACAATTATTAATTGAATTCCAAGATTTAACTGAAAACTAGAAAGTATTCATTAAAAAAATTATTTATAATTTATTATAGATAGCGTTTTTTTTTATTGTAGGGTAGCAGAGATAACATGAGTATAGTTTTGGTAACGTTCCCTGCTGCTCCAAAGCCAAGCCCAGAAGCTCAGAAAAAAGAAGCTGAGTTGGAAATGGCCATTGAAAGGAGAATCAAAGGTTCATTAACATTTCCATATTCACATCAATTATATTCTCTCTGCTGTTGTATTAATATGAAATCACGGTATCACACACATACTTGACATTCTGACAACTCTTAAAGAGGATCAGTTTATGTTATTTTTAATATTTGATATTCTGGTACAATTTATGACGTCTTTAAAGTGATATAATACTAACAAGTACAAAAACATTTTATTTCATATATAATATATGAAATTTAACGACAAGTATAGTTTATAGCTCATAACTAAATGTTTCTATGTGTTCTAGTTTAATTATAAACATACACTATTAAAATCTCTCTTAACACTTTCTTTTCTATAATAGAATGCATAACAACTTAGTTACCTTCTTATTATAGAAACTTGAGTAAATTTTAGTGAATTTCCAAAGGATAAACACTTATATATAAGTAAATGCCATATTGCTCGTATCTTACATATCTCTCTCTAATTTTCTGAAGAGGGTTGTGTGTACATACATATACATATATGTTTCTGTTATGAAACTGTGAAAACTTATTCTTGTCCAGTGGATGTATTTTCATACTACATGACTCATCTATTTAAATAATTATATTTTGTGTCAATTTGTTATTTATAATTACTAATTGTAAATGTAATTACTAATTATAAATAACAAGTGAAATATAAAACAGTATAATACTATTAAAATGTTGGCCAAATTCTAAATATTCTAATAATCATATTTGTGCAGTATAAAAGTTCATTATAAAATTAAACATAAAAATGTCCAGAAAAAACTAAATTGTATACGTATGATATCTATAGTATCAAAGAAAGAAATTAAAATGTACTTCTATAGTATCTTTTTCAAGCAATGTCTAAAATTGATTTAATCTTTGCTGATTTTTATCATTCATAATATTGATGTGTGAATATTACTGAAGGTTACATATATATATTTTTTATCTAATATGAATTTTATTTCTCATAATCTTCAATTTTGGGATTGTATTTCATTGTATTGTTGTTAGTTTCAAAATAATATTATATATATATAGCACTATGTATACAAGTATAAAATTAAAAAGCAACTATTAAAATATATTTTAAAAGATTTATATAGAATAGTTAAATAGATGTTTTTAAAATATCTGTAAATCTATCAAGTATTTCATGATCCCTGTTTTAATAACTACTATATTATTGTTAAAGCAAATAAGTATACAATTCTTGAATAATTTGTCGACAATGCATTAACAATATGTAGTTTATTACAGTATTATATGTCAAATTTTCCCTTCTATCCAATTGTATTAATTGTTTTTCTTTTTATTAAACTCTTTTAACACTAAAAATTATTTTTCTTAAAAATGCATTCCACCCTTGGAGTTGGTATTTTTTCAAACATTTTTGTAAGTAAAATTTGTATTCAAAAGTTGTTTGTTCCTCTTTCCAAACATATTGAAATACTATTTACAGGTAGGTGAATAGTTGCTTGTGAAAGTTTCAAACTATCTTATTGTGTTTTTATTTTCTCCCTTTCAATAATACATTTCTTATGGAGGAACATTGCAACAAACATAGTTGAAAAGTATATCTATTCCATAATATTATCAATTCCAATGGTGGATAGGTGTAAAAGCAAAACTATACAAATATTTGTAATAAATGTGGATAATGATGTATCTACTTAAGACCGGATTAATATTTCCAGGACTTCCATAAGAAATGTACTAAAACACTAAGTATTCCAGTCCTAAGTAGATGCATGTAGTTGTAATTGTTTATTACCCATTTTAATCATGACTTTATATAAGACACTGTATAAATATATAAATACGTATTACTACTATTTATATGATGCACAAATATGATATCATAAGCACAATACATTTAATAGCAGTAGAGAACTTTTAAATTTATTAGTAATGTTAAGTAATTTCTTAATAATAATATATTTTTTTATATTTGTAGAAATAGTTGCCGAACAAAAGAATGAAAACGAATTTGATTTTTTGAAATTGCTGCAACTTCTTATGGACCAAGAGTTTCCTAATTTACCTCCTGGTGGCGGTCTTTCAGCTAAGTATGTATAATTATGAATTTTTCAATTTTAATTAAAAAATTTTTAATTTAATTTAATATTTAATTTCGTTTACAAATTATATTAAGGTTAGCATTTCTTAGACTAAAACTAGTATATATCATTTTTGGCTTAACTCCAAAAATTGAATCTCCCTGAAATTTGTCATTTATATAATGATAATGTTATTTAATTTTTATTAAATGTGTATGTGAAAATATTTTGAAATTATTGTAAGATATTACTACAGACGAATAATTTTTAATATTTTTCTTTGTGTAATTACAAATTTGTGTTTGCATATTGTAATCTATTAATTTGTTTCTTTCCAGACAACCTTTCATTGAACAAGTGTTTCGGGAAGTATGCCCCAACCAAGCGGATAGTGTAAGTCTTGGATACGATTTCCCTTTGATATAACTAACCTTTGACTTTTTACTGCATCAAATGTACAACTATAATCATTAGACTTGTTCCATAATCATAACGATGCAGATACTATCAGAAATATCTTTATTTTACTGATCTCTCCTGATGTAAAAAAGAGATTCATTTTAAACTTACAACAGAAGTACACTGGTATATTATAAAGTAAATCTTATCTAAACTAAAGTCTGCCATTAAATATGTGCAGCCTTAAATTCCTGCAATGCGTTGTTGTTGGTAAAAATAAATTAGAGTTTAAAAAATACACTTAAAAGTTATAAACTATTATACATATTCATCCATTCAAAGAGATTAAAATTAATTTGCTAAATTATAAATTATTTCATGTATCGTACAAAAATAACAAATATTGAGTTTGCTTGTGGAATTATTTTGTCAGAAATAAAGTTTATAGTGTAATGTTGTTTGGTAAGGGGTTCGATAAAGTTGTGTACAAAATTTTATAATCATTAGGTTTGGATATTTGATATTATTATAAAAACTTGTTTCGTTATCTTATATGTTTAGTTTGCAGTGCAAGTAACATAAAAATAATTAATAATAAGGGTATGTAAAATAAGGGTATGTTTATTATATATTCTTTACTTCTTTAAAAATATTTTCAAGTAACCAAGTTAAAAAGAAGTATAAATATTATATAATATTTAGAAACTAAAAGATATTTCTTATTATGTTTTACTGCATAATTTGAAGGAAAAAGAAAAGAAAAAAAAAAGAAAAATATGAAATGAACTCACTACATTTTACAGCTGATTCTAATTGGTATTGGTATTGGGATGGGTTTCACAATTATCACCACCTATTGTTGGATTTTATAAATTCTTCATCCAAGGAGTAAAAAAATGTTTATATTACAGTTATAAGCAGAGGATTTAAAAGTATTCTACTAAGAGTGCGTGCAAATATAATATATGAAAAACTAGATGACGTGAGAAACTATCTTTAAATTATATTTATTTTAATAAGACTTGAGTAAATTCAATTCTGTGATCCTCTTTTGAATTATATGAAGGTTACAAAGTAAGAAAAATATATTTTTTAGCATTTCTAATCAATAATTTTCTCACAGAATAATATTACCTTTCTGGAAATTCATGTTACTTCACAGATCTAGATTTTCATTATAATAAATACTTGGTAGAGTATTTATATCATATCCTCTTGCTATGTTGATAAAAAAGTGCATAATATTACTATAAACAATTATATATTTTTGTAGTCTCTAGAAAACTTGCGCTCAGAACTATTCTGAGGTCAGTTTTTCATACTCTTCCTTAAGAAGTTTTAAGTATATTTATATAACTGTTCATTCTTTGTTTCAGAAGAGTAGAAAAACTGATTGTTTAGTTTTAGAAATATCAATATTATGTATGTACATAAAAATTGTGTCCAGGAAACTGTGTATTAATATTTTATACAAATCAGTTTTAAAGTCAAGCAGTAGGACTGTAGTAAGGAGGCCTTGATTTTAGTTTCTTAAGGTAATATTGTATGTTACAATTACATTATTTGTATTTGATTTATTAAGGTAACCGAATTTGAGGTACAATTATTTAATTAATAAATTTCATAAAGAGTCTGGGAATTTGTAATTGTTAAAAACAGTACAATTTAAAAGTAATTGATATAAAAAGTTATATAATTTATAAGTAAAAAAAAAAAATGAAAAACAAAAAAGATGCAGATAAAAATCACCGAAATGCAAGTTTCAGATTTTACTCATCACATAAATATAATGCAGAACAAGTAAGTATTGTACTTAAGATATATTATCAAACTAGTATATTGTTAATTTCCGAGAATATTAAATATACTTGTAAATAGATATTTAAAAGGTCAATGAAACTATTTATATCAGGTAATCATACATTTATTTTCTTTACCTTTTTCACGTGATTAATTTTGTACTTCCAAATATTCCCCATTTACGTAACATAGAAACTATGTGTCAAGGCCATCCTCAAATATAAAAATCTAGCATATGTATACCAAAGTATATATTACCGTTCCTGGTTAAACAAGTCCTGAAATTAACTAAAGTTAACAATCTATTTTCGTTTTAAAGTAATATAATAAATAACAGATCCCATATATAGAGTTATCTTCTCTATTTTTACTAATAATGGTGTATGGAATATATAAAAGTAGTTATATATTTTACTGGTATGCTAAATAATTTACTTCATAGGTTTTGATCGGATGTCAATCCTCCCTGTGCACATATTTCAAAATGTTAGTTTACTTAAACGTTACAATATATGGCTTTATAAGTCATAACAAAATATAGAAGATATACAATTTTTATTTCGTATACAATTAACTAAAAGTAAAAGTTACAAAGTAGTTCAATGATATTTAATTCATCATGCCTTGTCTATTACATACTCGTATCACTAAAATGTATGTACTAAAACTTAAAATTCATATCCTACATATTTTACTGCATATTAATCAAATACCTGTGTACTTTAATTAAACAGCGGACTATTTTATCTTTATATGTGTGATTAAGAGTTCACCACTAATCTCTCATTTGCATATATATTTGGAACTTAATGGTAGCAAAAGTAACAATAATCATACTGATATTAATAGTAGTAATTGCTGTGGTCATGAAAATAAATCCAAAGTGCATTTTTAATGAGTTTCTAATGCTTTTTATTATTATTTGTTTATGGTCCTCTTCTGCTATTCTTGATTTTGAGTATTACTTATTTTTTACTAGGCCTACAAATTCACAAAATTTAGATGATTGTGACTGTAGTTAACATTCTATCTTTTTTTAAATTTGTACTTAAAGTGAATTTGATAATAATGTTATGCAGAATAGGACTATCAGTTAATAAACGTAGTATAAAGCATACACAATATTCAAAGTTGGAAAATGCAAGTTTCAGATTTTACTCATCACATAAATATAATGCAGAACAAGTAAGTATTGTACTTAAGATATATTATCAAACTAGTATATTGTTAATTTCCGAGAATATTAAATATACTTGTAAATAGATATTTAAAAGGTCAATGAAACTATTTATATCAGGTAATCATACATTTATTTTCTTTACCTTTTTCACGTGATTAATTTTGTACTTCCAAATATTCCCCATTTACGTAACATAGAAACTATGTGTCAAGGCCATCCTCAAATATAAAAATCTAGCATATGTATACCAAAGTATATATTACCGTTCCTGGTTAAACAAGTCCTGAAATTAACTAAAGTTAACAATCTATTTTCGTTTTAAAGTAATATAATAAATAACAGATCCCATATATAGAGTTATCTTCTCTATTTTTACTAATAATGGTGTATGGAATATATAAAAGTAGTTATATATTTTACTGGTATGCTAAATAATTTACTTCATAGGTTTTGATCGGATGTCAATCCTCCCTGTGCACATATTTCAAAATGTTAGTTTACTTAAACGTTACAATATATGGCTTTATAAGTCATAACAAAATATAGAAGATATACAATTTTTATTTCGTATACAATTAACTAAAAGTAAAAGTTACAAAGTAGTTCAATGATATTTAATTCATCATGCCTTGTCTATTACATACTCGTATCACTAAAATGTATGTACTAAAACTTAAAATTCATATCCTACATATTTTACTGCATATTAATCAAATACCTGTGTACTTTAATTAAACAGCGGACTATTTTATCTTTATATGTGTGATTAAGAGTTCACCACTAATCTCTCATTTGCATATATATTTGGAACTTAATGGTAGCAAAAGTAACAATAATCATACTGATATTAATAGTAGTAATTGCTGTGGTCATGAAAATAAATCCAAAGTGCATTTTTAATGAGTTTCTAATGCTTTTTATTATTATTTGTTTATGGTCCTCTTCTGCTATTCTTGATTTTGAGTATTACTTATTTTTTACTAGGCCTACAAATTCACAAAATTTAGATGATTGTGACTGTAGTTAACATTCTATCTTTTTTTAAATTTGTACTTAAAGTGAATTTGATAATAATGTTATGCAGAATAGGACTATCAGTTAATAAACGTAGTATAAAGCATACACAATATTCAAAGTTGGAAAAAGTAGCAGTTCTTTGTTCTTCTTGTTTGTTTGTATATATTTGTTGTATTTTTTTGTGTGTGTTTCTTAAATTTAATTTTATTTTTAAAAAATTTCAGTGAATATGCTTGTGTAATAACATCACAATGATAAAAATACTTCCTTTGAGAAATCAACATTTCATGAATCTCACATGAATCGCGTACAAAATGGACAAATTTTTGTAATGTGTGTACCTGAATTGTGTTAATTTTCGAATAACTGTAAATTGTTTTTACTATGCGAGAGTGATAAACAAAACTTAAATATTTAATCATTTACATTTTTCTTCTTGATTTACATAATATTATTCTAAATTACATGAAACGTACAACTTTTAATATACATATATATATACATCGTTTTTTAAAAGTTTTATCAAACTGATTTTTTTATTATCGTAATACAATCCTTTCACCTCCCATTTTTATTGTTTAGATCAAATTTCAACAATATTCAAGTCCTTTCCTGCAGTCCAAGATGAATTCTGCAATCCCTGATTTAAATAATAACTGTTAGTATTCCAGTATGTTTGTATACATGTAACATTAAATTTTTTTTGCAAAATACGAAATATAAAAGTAAAGTGCATTTGATCTGCTATTTTAATATTACATTCAGAGGTACTTTAATGTATATAATTACTTTTCATTTTTAACTTTGCCATGCGTCTATAATGTTTGCGTAAATCAGTAGCGCAATTAAAGATTTCTAAATCTTGTATAGTTTTTGTTTTCATTTCTTAAGAGACAATTAATGTTTATATATATATATGTGTATGTAAATAAAGGCAATCCTCCCCTTTCTATTTCTTATTAATATTAATTTTTACGGTGTAGTGCATACTGAACTATCGAAATAGCTTTGAAATGTGACAAACCTGATATTATGCAAAGTTATCATCTATTTTGATTACAAATGTATCTAAATCTTAACTGTAATACTTCAGCTTATTAATTTAACACTAGTAATATTACAAAAACGTTATCTTAATATTTGTTTAAAGTGTACATTTACATAATTGTAAATAATGTGTACTTGTAAATAATTGCAAAGAGTTATTAAGATCTTGTAACGAGTACATGTTTTGTACCGAAGATATTAATACTTCAAATTCCAGTATAAGCAAAAAAGATAAGTTTATGTATACAACTATCATATATGGATTAACTGATATTATTTATCTATGTTATTGTATATAATATACATAATTAAAAACATATTTTATAAGTATAACTGTTTTTTTGATAAGTAGTTATCTGTGGTTTGTGAATTTTAGTTTATTATCTTGCAAAATATTTTGCAAGTTTTTAAAGAAATATTATATTCTTCCATTCTTTACATTTTAGAGCTTTTTGTGCTTTGTTTTAGTATTGACCAATAGTATAAATAGGTAATAATGTTATTATTTAATATTAAAATTCCTTCTTTTTTTTTTTTAATACAAAAAAAAAATATTGTTTTGATTTTGAAAAATATTCTGTGTTGTAGACTTTCTGCGTATTTTGAAAAGTTATCATACTATTATTTAACTCAAATATGAATTTGTAAGTTACTAAACAAATTTATAAAAAGTGCGTTTTATGATTGTGCACATAAACTAATCCTAATAGTTCCAAACCATATGTTAAATTAAGTAGACAATATAACATACTCTTTAATATGCTTTATTTCAATTATATTATACATTTAATGTATTGTAATTACTTCAAGATAATCGTCTTTATTGATACTTAATAATATTATTAGTGTAAGTATTTAATGCATTTTATATTTTCAGTTGATGGTATATGATATAATTGCTACATTAATGTTAAAACATGTTATTTGAATTAAAGTTTAATGAATATTTTAAGACCTAGTTTAAGAATTAATGGTGTGCCTATAATTTTTAAAACAATAATATAATAAAATATTTTTATCTTTATAGGGAAATACTAAAAAGAACACTGTTTTAATAATAAGCATTTATGTGAAAAGATACATTTACACAAAAATTAAAATACTATATAATGATATGTTTACAGAATTCTCAAACCAGTTAGTGTACACAATATGTATACAATTTGATACATGTGGTATACAATAAACTGGCCAATCCAAAAGTCATGAAAGTGAGATACCAAACAACAAGAACTACAGAGGAGTACAACATGAAGAAAGACTGTGTGGAATGGTAATTGAAATAATCTTACAGGCATATTACATTTCTGATTAAACAATTCTGAAAGTCTTATCGCATTGTAATGTTAAATTTAGTTACAAAATTTATTGTACAAAGCATTTTATTTTAAAAAAAGGGTAAACAAATCTGATCAAGTTCTCTATAGCCATATATCATAGGTTTTTATTTTGAACATATAGTTAATGTTGTATATTATTATCTTTTTACTCAATAAATATTTATCAAGTACATTTTCTTTGTTCTTCATTATTTATATAAATTTTAAGAATGTGTGATAAATTCATTATATATTCTGTGTTGTAGACTTTCTGCGTATTTTGAAAAGTTATCATACTATTATTTAACTCAAATATGAATTTGTAAGTTACTAAACAAATTTATAAAAAGTGCGTTTTATGATTGTGCACATAAACTAATCCTAATAGTTCCAAACCATATGTTAAATTAAGTAGACAATATAACATACTCTTTAATATGCTTTATTTCAATTATATTATACATTTAATGTATTGTAATTACTTCAAGATAATCGTCTTTATTGATACTTAATAATATTATTAGTGTAAGTATTTAATGCATTTTATATTTTCAGTTGATGGTATATGATATAATTGCTACATTAATGTTAAAACATGTTATTTGAATTAAAGTTTAATGAATATTTTAAGACCTAGTTTAAGAATTAATGGTGTGCCTATAATTTTTAAAACAATAATATAATAAAATATTTTTATCTTTATAGGGAAATACTAAAAAGAACACTGTTTTAATAATAAGCATTTATGTGAAAAGATACATTTACACAAAAATTAAAATACTATATAATGATATGTTTACAGAATTCTCAAACCAGTTAGTGTACACAATATGTATACAATTTGATACATGTGGTATACAATAAACTGGCCAATCCAAAAGTCATGAAAGTGAGATACCAAACAACAAGAACTACAGAGGAGTACAACATGAAGAAAGACTGTGTGGAATGGTAATTGAAATAATCTTACAGGCATATTACATTTCTGATTAAACAATTCTGAAAGTCTTATCGCATTGTAATGTTAAATTTAGTTACAAAATTTATTGTACAAAGCATTTTATTTTAAAAAAAGGGTAAACAAATCTGATCAAGTTCTCTATAGCCATATATCATAGGTTTTTATTTTGAACATATAGTTAATGTTGTATATTATTATCTTTTTACTCAATAAATATTTATCAAGTACATTTTCTTTGTTCTTCATTATTTATATAAATTTTAAGAATGTGTGATAAATTCATTATCCTGAAATATAAATTCTGTATTATGTTAAATGTAAAATGTAAAGGAATTAGTTTTTAAAAAAACAGATTCTAATTTATTCAATATATTACAATAACTTTGTTTAGATAAAACATTTATTTTACATTAATATATAAACTCTACATCGATAATTTGTATTTACATTGATATTATTATTACTATATTATATATATGCACTTTTGTAGATGTTAAATTATGTATTTTATCTCAAGAGCTAAATTTGCAGTATTTATTTTAAGTTGAGCACATTAACCATAATATGCTATTGAATTTTCTGTCATGTATACTGTTAAATACTATTTACAAATTTGTGCAGGTTCGTTATTGGAAATCGTAATTTATATTTAACATCACGTATTATTTTCATAAGATCATTCCGTCTATAATTTACAAAACAATTTTTTATAAAATTGGATATATATGTAAAATTATTTAATGAAATATATCTATACATATCTACTTATTCACACAAGAAATACTTTTACACCTTATCCTATTTCAAACTTCATAATTTGATAATGTTTTTGTAATATTTCACGTATAGGAAAATGAATGTTACACAAAAAATATATCATACATACTAGTAAATAGTCACTATAATGATATATTTAACAATCAACAAATTACAGCATTCCTGTTTTTAGTATGTACTCATGAAAAATTAAACATCAAGATTTTTATATTTGAATTACAAGCAAAACGTATTTTACAAAGAAAATAACACTTCATTTGTTACATATAATAAATGTATACCAAATATTTTGTATTATTTAAAATGAAATGGAAAACCTTGTTAGAAAAACTTGCCTTACAAGAATTATACACTTTTTATAGCGCATCTATATTATTTCATTGAATTCGTACTCTAATAATATAGATGCTGCCTCTTTTTCTTTATAGAACCTACATGATATACCTTTAACAATGTTTCAAATACAAAATTCATTTTAATATTGTACGTATAACTCTTAATTTTAATTTAATGTGTCAAAAAGTGATCACGTTGGATGGTGCGAAGTATAAAGTGTTTAACAGCTCATATTTTTATAATATGCGGTCAAAAATATATGCATAACATGGTATAATTTATCTGTGTAAAGATAGTGCAATTTTTAAAATGTCATTTTCCATTAGAAATATTACAACATTTTTGAAATTCATTAAACACGTTTAAGTAACAAATTTTTTGCTTAAATTTATCCAATTAGTGTGCTTTATAGAAAAACGAAATATCATAAGATTTACAATATTATATTAAAATTGCTAATAACTTAGAAATACGTAGATACTATAATGGTAGTAATGGCATTTTTAATGTAAAAAAGCATTTCATGTATATATTAACAAATACATAATCACATGAAGTGCAGTGAGCATAAAAAGGGCAGTCATTTTAAACTCACGTATATCTTAATAAGAATATTGACAAGTAAATAATTATTGAAAACGTATTATAATAGAACGTCCAAATGTCAAGTTTGTTTGTACATTTAGAAAATTTGTACCAAAAGGAAAATATGATTTTGTAAGTCTATCATGAGCGTACTAAAAAATGTTTGGAATTATATTACAAGTAACAACACAAATTACTATACTGCATAAATAAGTAAAAATAAACTAATCTTCAGATCTTACAAAATCTTTCATGGCGGAATTGAACTATTTCACATTTCATACATGAATCAGTTCATGTATGTATTTACAATGTATTATACTTTTAAACAGACAACTCCTCAACACAATGGTTCGTATTTTTTAAAACATTGTCAGTATTTGTGTCTTTTAATACATATACGTTTACATACGTATTTATATCTTGTATAAAAAGAAGTTCGTTAATTGAATAAAACAGTCTATTTGTTTGTTGTCCATCCACGCCAGATGGAGGCTATACTTGCTGCAGCACTTGTAACTAAACCACCAGCAACACTTTGATTCACTTGCATACTGGAAGATTGTTGACTAATCATTGCACCAGGAATGGGAACTGCCATTTCAGGACAAGCAACATTTGGTACCTATCAAACAAAACATTGTAAAACATATTTCATCATTTACTGATGGTAACAATTACTGAATAAATGCTTACAGCCTCCCATTCCCAATTAAAAGCATCTTCCTCTTCATCTGAAGCAGAATCGTCACTATTTTCTAAATCTGGAATTAAGTGACTGTGCAATTGTGCTACAATGTTTGGATCAACTTCCATTGGACCAATTCTGTTTTAACAAGTAAATAATTATATAAACTATTATCGATATTTATTTAAAAATGTAACCTAATGTTTACCTTCCAAGATCACTAATTTCCGTATTGAGCAGATGCATCAAGTTTTGCAAAGTATGCATTGGATGTAAAACTGTGATATTAGTATTTTGTGTAAAACATAAATGTAAAACATTACTATTAAGTCTTGCTACTTTTCTTGCAAATTTTTGATCTGACATTTCGTTTCCACAAAATTCTCTGAAATTAATTTTTTAATTACAATGTTTTTATTTCCAAATTTACAGTAATTTAATTTACAAATAAAAAATGAAAATACTCTATACTTACCCATAAGCAAGTTTATATGGCAGCCTTACATTAACATAATAAGCAATAATATTAACTAACTGTGTAGCATAAGTTAAAGCAGCACTGATATTGTATGCTGGATTATGCATTGCAGTTTCTTTATTTGCACCTGGCACTCCATCCTTATTTGCTGCCACTAAACGAATGAACGAATATTTACCAAATGGTTTACTAAAATAAAATAAAGTAAATTTGAAGTAATATATACCCCATAAAGAATAAGCACTGTAATCACCAGTTCCTGGTAAAGTTGGAGCTACTATACGATGTTGAACTTCTAAAGCATTGTCTGTATCATTAACCCATCTGCCTCTAACATATGATGTTCCAGATGCATCTGCTAATGCACATGTTACAACATCTGAACTAGCATCTTCCTCGCTACTACATAAACTAAAACCAATTAATAATTTTATTATTTCTATTTGCTAATTCAAAAATTACTCTTTGAACAAAAATATTTCTTTGATATACATTACATGGATTATTACCTTCTATTAGGTTGTACTTTAGATAATGGAAAAATATATTGAATCAATTGTTTTGTAGCAGTTCTAATAACTTTTTTTAGTTGTTGTCTTTTTCTATCTACAGCTTGTTTTTGTTTTTCTTGTTTCGCTCTCAAACCATTAACATAACGATGTAACTCTTCTACTCGTTCTTCATGTCTGGGTAATCTAAGTGCTAACTGAGAATTTACATCTTTGAGAACATTTAAACGTTGATTACCTGTATATCATTAAAATTCTTATAGTATAATGTTTAATGAATATTATGCAATTACATTTCAATTGAAATATACCTCTATTTATACTTTGCCTGGTTTCATTCACTAATGACTGGAGCAACCTAACTCTTTCTTTACAAGTATTTATATCACATATCTACAAATATCAAAGATTACAAATACAGCATTATATAAGGGTCCTAAGTATAATGTTTTTTTTAAATATTATTTAATAATTTTATTGTTATAGAATACCAGTTTATCCCGTTGTTTATGTTTTTCAAGAGCTTTCATGCATTTTTCTTCCAATTGGGCCCTTGCAGCTTTCAACCGTAAAAGTCGCAATTGTTTATCTGCAAATCTACCAAAAAACAAAATTTACATTAACATAAATTTTATATTAAATCATTATTTTGTTTAAAAATTTAAAAATAAAAGTATTCTTCATTTTAAAACCTGTTTTAAATGATTAATAATAGGCAGAAACACAATTAGATTGTAGATAAACTAAGGATTTAAGTCACATTTAAACATAAGTAGAATACGATTTTATTATATAAAAATAAATGAACAACAATCACGTAAATGGTAAACATATATTTACCGTTCGGAATAAACAGAAGTTGAATGGATAAAATCACCATTTTGAATGCACTGACGACAATAAAAAATTCGACGACTATTATGGCACAGTGGACACTTTAATAGATTTACACTTAAACGACTTGAAACATCTTCCAGCTCAGACGAAAGCTGAAAATCTGCAGGTGCTGTACAAGATCCTTCGGAACTGCTTGTCGCCATAACCAAGAACAAGAACAATAAGCTTTCGTCTGTCTGTTGTCACTCATCAGCTGATCTGATATTTACTTGTAATCTCCCGCCACTCCATGCACGATACAATTATTTTTATTGCGAATTTTTATTTTCATATTTAATCGTATTACTCGCACAGACACACTATATAATTTTCCACGAAATTTCCATATAATTTGACAAGTAATCGTTGAATTATGGAAAAAACAAACTTAAATCTCAACTTATGAATTTCGTAGTTTCCCCGTGATGGCAATCATTTTGGTAAAAATCCCGTTGTGTACGTGATAAAAGAAATACACACACATGTATATGCAAGTCTGAAAAAATACTTATAAACAAGATAATAAAATGTACAGATATCGATCTAAATATTGTTTCATCCTTGAAATAATTTTAAATTATTTTTATTTTTTACTATCATAATATACCGTTCGTTTCACGGAAGATCGTACTATCAGATGACGAGTTTTTGTTTATTTGCGCATGTTAGCTTTCATTGGTTGAGCACAGTGTTGGGCAGTCACAGTGCATGCGCAGTAAGCTATCCGTAGAAGTCCTCAGTAGCGTATATACTTTGATGAAATATAAGGTATCATTAGGCCCTAGTGAGGAAAAAAAATAAAACTGAAGAAAATTGCAGGAAAGAGAATAAAAGGGTTAAACAATACAACAGATTATATATAATTAAAGTAATATTAAATTTATTTATGATTATTATTATTTTTTACGATTGCAGCCGATTTGTTATATGAATACCAATATTTGTTGTAAGAGCAAAGGAAAAAGATACCGCTCGATTTTTATCAGATCTATGCATGTTAACAAAATAAAATCCATGTATTTCTTTGTTATTGTTTCTCTGATATTATAATTTTCACACGTATGAAATATAGTTATTCAAAGAGGTCCTTCCAAGTCGTTTTTCTTAAATAATAATTCATTTAGTGTTTTAAAAGTTATTGTGCTTTTGTGTTATTTTAAATACAATAATCTCCCATATTCCATCATATTATTCCCATTATATTATATTATATAATTCAC